TCCTTCTTCGGGACAAACATTGGCTCAGCGGTGGTGATGCTCATTCCCACGATCATGTTTACAGTTGTGGCTGTCTTTTCCTTCATCGCTCTTAGCATGGTATGTGTAAACCTCAAGGGTGAGGAGTGGCTTTGGGAGGGCTCTGTGATCTGAAACCACCCTTCCTCAAACTTACAAGAGGATTCAGGTGCTGGGTGGTGGTGGTGGTGGCAGCGGCAGAAGCAGGTGGATCTCTGTGACTTCAAGGCCTGTCTGGTCTATAAAGTGAGTTCCAGGACAGCCAGAGCTGTTACACAGAAAAACCCTGTCTCAAAAAAGCAAACAAAAAAACAAGAAAAAAGCAAAAAAAAAAAAAAAGAAAAGAAAAGAAAAAAAGGATCCAGGAGGTTGGGGAGCTGGTGGGTAAAGTGCTGAGGACCTGAGTTTAGATTCCCCAGAATCCATAGCCTGACATGGTGGCAAACGGCTGCAACCCTAGAGCTGGGAGCAGAGCAGAAATAGGCAGATTCCAGGCCTCAAGGCCAGCCAGTCTAGCTGAAGTGGCAAGCTTCAGATTCGGAGAGAGGGGCATCCTCCAAACATGAGGTGGAGAACAATGGGATAAGATAGCTGAAGTTGACCTCTGGCCTCCACATGTACATGCACAGGCAAGTGAACCTGCATTTGCATACAACACACACAAGTGGGGTTCTGGGTAAAAATAACGCTTGCTGCACCATTGTGAGGATGTGCGAGAATGCCAGGAACCCATGTAAAGCCAGACACTATAGGCATCTGTAATTCCAGCGCTCCTCTGGCAAGATGGGGAATGGAGACAAGAGACCTGTGGGCCAGCTAGCCTGATGCATCCAGTGACAATATAACAAGAAACCTTGTCTCAAACTAGGTGGAAGGCAAGAATTGACACTGGAGGTTATCCTCTGACACCTGAAGTCACATGAACACACACACACACACACACACACACACACACACACACACACACACACACACACACTCATTGACTTATCCTCATTGACTGACTTATACTCTAGAGACCAATTTTTCACAGAAGGATCCCATCTGTTTCCTGAATGGCTACCTATTCCATTTAAAAAAATATATTATTTATTTTTGGCTTTTTAAGGCAGAGTTTCTTTGTAGCCCTGGCTGTCCTGGAACGTTACTTTGTTGATCAGGATGACCTCAGACTCAGAGATCTGCCTGCCTTTGCCTCCTGAGTGCTGGGATTAAAGGTTTGTGGGACCACACTCAGCTTTAATTAATTATTTATTTGTTTTTTGAGATAGGGATGTGTGAAATCCAGACTGGCCCCAAACTCAAGATGTATTGAAGAATAACCATGGCCTCCTGATCTTCCCACCACTGTCTCCCAAGGACTTGGGTTACAGGCGTGTGCCACAATCCTGGCTTTTATATTTTAGACAGCCTCTTGAATCATGATTCTCCTGCCTCTGGGGATTGCTGGCATTCAATAACACCGCGTTTGCTTTCCTCTTTGACTAATCCTTCCTTATGCTTTTGTTCCTATAGGTTCATAAGTTCTACCGGGGCAGCGGGGGCAGTTTCAGCAAAGCTCAGGAGGAATGGACCACTGGAGCGTGGAAGAACCCACATGTGCAACAGGCAGCCCAGAATGCAGCCATGGGGGCTGCACAGGGTGCCATGAATCAACCGCAGACGCAATATTCTGCCACCCCCAACTACACATACTCCAATGAGATGTGAGCCAGCCAAGCCTACCAGGAGGCAGGGCTGGGGGCCAGTGGGACAGGGGGCTCAAGCCACATCATCTGTGTGGTGACCAAGCAGGGTTCCCCCTTCCCTTTTCTCCTCCCCAACTTTGTACAAAGAATCAGAGTTATATATATATATGTGTGTGTGTATATATGTATATGTCTACCCCCTACCCCCACCTTTTGGGTCCTGCTCTTGGCACTCCGAGAGCTGTGGGCTGCACATGGAGTGGTCCTGTGCATTGGTAGCTGAGTTCATGTCCCCTTGTGAAATAACGTGCAGTGGAGATCTCTTGTTGTGGTGCTAGATGTCTGTTTAGAACTAAACCAGCTCCCCTCCACCCCATCCACCAGGTTGCCCCCTCTGACCCTGACCCAGGGACTCCTTGTGGGGCAGGGGGAGGCCTAGCAGAGAGCCTGGCACTCTGTGCAGGGTTATGAGCCGAAGCTATTTCCCCCTTTGGTCCCATTGGGAAGCAACAGTATTTTGCATTCATGGTGATAAGTAGGTTCTGGAGCGTGGGATGGAGAGGATGTTTCCTTGCTCCCCTCAACCTCTTTCTCCCCTCGTTTCTGCCTCAATGTTAGACTCTTTGTGCTCTCCTCCCTAGCTGGCTCTTCCAGGATCTTTCTCCTCCCCACGTAGCTTTTCTTTGTCTTCCTAAGGCTGAGTGTCCCAGTTATGTCTGCTTCCAAGACTGCCCAGATCCCCAATTCTGATCTGCTCCCCAGTTCAAGGAAGCTGACATGGGAGATGAGCCAGCCCTGATGTGGAAGGGGCACACCACTTGGAGATGGAGAGCCTGTTTGGTACTTGACACCCAGGGAATGGAAACGCAGGCCTTTCTCCTTGGTTCTGAAAGCCTGGCCTGCAGTGGCAGGCTTCTTCTTTTCCCTCTCTGACTTCCCTCCCTTTTCTCCCCTGATCCTCCTTTAGCCACCCTGCATTTCCTGTGGAGCTGGGTTGTGACTTGTTAGCTGTGAAGCCACTGCTGGAACAGAGGGCATGGAACTTATTGACCCCTGGGGGAGGTATGGCTGGCCCCAGCCCACAAGGGCTTCTAGGTATCTCAGAGTAACCATTGGAATCCTGGGAGGAGTAGCTAGCTGTTCTATTTGAGTATGGCAGATAGGATAGAGCTTAGAGGGCGAGGTCTGAAGCTGGGGATCAAAAGAGAAGTCAAATAGAAGCCCACTGAGAGAGGGTAGCTTACCTCTCCAGTCCCACTTTCCCTTGGCTACAGGACAGATTCTGTTTGGATGCTCCCAGGCCCAGTTGAAGCTGCAAGCACAATGTTCTGAGCAGGATTCCTGGTTGACAGGGAGGGAAGGAGGATTCTACCTTTAGTTTTTTGATTAGTGGGTGTGGCCCCTCCCTCTTCTTTCATTCTCTTGAGAACTAACTACAGGACTTGGTTCCTGGCCTTTTCTTAGTTCTGTTGGAACCCTCTCCCCTTCACGACTGATCTCAGTCCCCAGGACTGTCTCTTCCAAGCAGTGGGTGGACATTGCCTGGTTGAGGATCTGGTTGTGTGAGGCCTGAAGTAGGTAGGCCATGCCAAGGAGCAGCTGCCTGTTTCTCACCTTCTTCCAACAGAAACTCACCTGGACTAGGTAGACTGGAGAGCCAGACCCCACTTAGCCATTCCAGGCTGCTTTATCTTGGGACCTAAGACCTGGTTTCAGGTCTCCTTGAGCTTTGATTTTCAGCTTCTTCCTTGTAAGAGAAGCCAAGAGTCTCTGAAAAGTTCCCTTCCTAATGACCCCTTAGGCTTAGTTGATTCTCTCCCCTACTGTTTTCCCTCTGGAGAGCAGTTGTCACATGCCCTGGTACCCTACAGAGACCCAGGGCTACGCCCTCCCTCTTCTTCCCTTCTCCTGACCCCAGACTTCTTTTTCCCTTCTCTTGGTCCTCTGGAAGTTCCACGAGGGCTGTGATCCAGCTGCCAGCCTAGCATCCACGATCTGTAGGATGTTACCTCCAATTTCCTGTCCTACTGCCCTTTCCTCTTTCCTGGCTCAGACCTATTGGCCATGCCTGGCGCTGCCCTTGGGAAAGCCTGTTACCAGTGTCTGGCCCAGCTGCTCAGGCCCTGGAATGCTGCATCTCCAGGCAACTATGCACTTTCATGAGGAGGGAACCAGGATGAGAAAGGGGGCTGGGCACAGATGGTTTAATTTGGGGGTGGGAGGAGGGCCCAGTTGGTTCTGGGGATCCTCCTGTCTGTTGCCAGCCAGTGACCTGCTTTTGCATTCTCCTGGTGCCCACTGCCCCTTGTTTCTGAGAGACACACATTATTCCCTAGCTGGCAGTTGACCTGCCTGAGCCAATGTGTCTATCTGTGGTAACTGGATGAACCATAATAAAAGGGATCATTTGACCCTGTCTATTCTGTGTTGCTTGTCTTCATGTGGGTCTTAATGAAGTCTTGATATGGGATGTGAGGCAGGGGTGTAGGGCTGGGTTGAGTGGATCTGTGGCCTGGAATTCTGTGATCATTTCCCTAAAGCAGCCTTGAGTAGGCCATGAAGTACATGCCACAACTACCAGTTAAGAAGAAGAAATAAAGTGCTCTGCTGGCAGTGGTAGGACTGGAACACAGGCCCTTCCTCAGCTCCCATGGGGGATCACCTGAAGCTAATTCAGCAGCCTCCATGCACACAAGTTCTTGAGACCTGTGGTTGCTCCAGCGTGATGAAAACTATTCCAATATGCCGAGTCTTTGCCAAGTGTACTCACTAGGAATGCTGTCTAGATCCTCTGTGCTGGTCACTCCTCAAGATACCTTTCAAGTAACCGTGGATGCCGTAGCACGCTCCTTTAATCCCATTATGGCAGAGGCAGGTAGATTTCTGAGTTCCAGACCAGCCAGGGTTAAAAAGAAATTTTTTTTTTCCAAGTGACCTCTTCAATGACAAGGCTTTCCTGCTTAGGATTGTGGCTTAGATCCTGCAGCTTCCTCATTCTTAGCCTCTAATTTTCTGTACTCCTGTTTGTCTCAAGAGCCGAACTGCCTTTTAGAACAGGCGCAGTAAATAGAATTAAGTGCCAGAGTTCTGAACAGGTGCGCGGGGTAATTGGCAAATCACACAACTATGTAGGTCCTGGAGCGAGCTCCGGTGACTACAACTCCCAGAAGGCAGAGTAGACTACGGCTCCCAGAAGGCCATGCGTTCACGTAGCTCTCTCGCGTGCCCTTTAGACTCGGAGGGTAAGGGCGCCTAGATACCGCGATACTTGGGGCGGCTGGCGCGGGTGAGCGGTGGAAGGGGCTGGGAAGTGTTGTCCCGGGGATCGGCGTGGTGTGGCGGTGGGAGAAGCTCCTCAGGCTGTGGGTCCGAGCGAGGGTGGATGTGCGATTATGTGTGTGATGTGGGGCCACCGGCGTGCTCTCGCGCTCAGGGTTGGGGGACAGCAGCCGCACCTGCGCCCGCTGACCTGCGCTATCCTTGAAAGAGGCGAAGCCAGGACACCCACACTCGACGCTTACCTTTGAAAACTGCAGCGTAGGCTGCGTCCTAAGAGATCCAGGAGCGTCCCGATGTGAAAACGGTCTTAAAGTTACATTTATTTTGGATGGGGTGCTGTCACGGCATGCGTGTGGAGATCATACAACTTGTGAGATTCAGTTCCACCGTGTGAGGCTGCAAGCCACCTTACTGAGCCAACTTGCCTCAAGCTATTTTAAATGAATAAACTAGAGAAAGAAAAACCCTGGGAGTGTTTAGTTGCTTAATCCCTAAACGTGCGGAGCGGCATTTAAAAAGTAGAGTGAGGTCAGTTTTTTTTTTTTTTTTTTGTCTGAAAAAATTTCCTGATCAAATATTGGAAGCCAGAACTAGCTAATGGGCAGGAGAGAGCCTCGGGAAGTGGTGGGTGCTTGGGAACTGGGGGTTTTGCTCCGAGATGTGTCCTCAGGAGGTACCCAAATGAACTGTAGGAGCTTTGTGCCGAGCGTTTTGAATGAGAACGAGCGTTCCTTGCTTTTCCTAACACCTTAAAAGGGGTTTAGGTGCCGGGCGGTATGGGTTTTGGTGTAGGGTGGTTACATTTTTCTGGCTACATCCTTGCCCATTTTGTTACTGGCAGATATCCATGAAACTGAAACTTCAGTTTGACCTTGATTAAACAGAAGATTGATAAGGCACACGCTGAGGCCCTTTTCTCGGTGTGTGTGTGTGTGTGTGTGTGTGTTCTCACTGTCTTAAATTCTCTTTCTCTTTTACTTTTTTTTCCCTTTCCCTTCATGACAGGGTCTCTCAGTGTATCCCCGGCTAGCCCAGAACTCACTGTGTAGACCACACTAATCTTGAATTCATGGAAAACTGCCTACTTGTTCACCTGTGCTGGGATTAAAGGCATGTGCCATCACACCCCACTTTTTCTTACACATAAGAGTAAGTTTAAGTTCTGTGGTTATAATACAAGTCAAATAAGAATAGGAAAAACGCGTTTTCTGCACATGCTGCTTTAAGACTGGTCTAGCAATAAGCTGTAGACCTCACATTGGGAATATAGGCGTCTTCCTGTACCTGCACTTCAGTCTGTGAGGAGTGGAAAGAAAAATTAACCCTGAGTTCAAGGATAGCCACGAGAAACTCAAGTTTGACTCCGGAGGTTTAAAGGGAACACTGAATCATATGATAAAACAAGCTTGTCTTTTGAGTCTTTTTCCCGGGAGGTCAGTAGTGGTGGGAGAGAATTAGATATTACAATGTTCAGCTCCTGGACATGCCTGGACAAGCATGATGTAGAGGTCAGGGAACACAGACATGTACTGACTTGTCTGTTCAAACCAGTGAGCTCCGTGTATAGGGAGGAGAGCTAGCTGTCCTGACTGCTGGAGAACCTGTGCTGCAGAGCATCAGGAGGTGCAGCATCCACCAGCTAGGAAGAAACACAATTGTGTGTGAGCCATTTTAAAGTGTAGAAAACAGCTTCTCTCTTATTGCTGTGGTTTGGAGGTTAGGTTTATTATGAAAGCAAAGGGTCCTCCCATCTTTCTGAAGGATGGAGAAAGTGCAGTGTCCTGGCTGTGGTTCTCCTACATGGCTCGGTGCCCCTGTCCCCCGAGCTCAGGAGGAATCATGACTTCAGTCACGGCCTGCTGCCTGCTTGTCCACTCTCCTGGACTGCTCACAGTTCCTGTTAGTGGCAGGGGTAGGGAATCGAGGTGCTGCCTATAGTCACCCTGACTGTCAATAAATGAAAATTCCAAAAATCTTTAATAGGATCTGGGTGGAGGAAGAGACTGAATTGGCTTGGAATTTGATCTTGGAGAGCAAACTCTGACCAGCTCTCACTTCCCCTGGGACTCTCAGGTTGAACATATTTGACCTCGATTCCAAATATTGGTTAAATAATCTAGTTTCTATTCTTCAACTATAAATCAGTCTCCCTCTTTCCCCAACCTTCCCCCCCCCCCAGAAGAATGGCTTTGGTCCTGAGCAAAACTTGGTTACAGATCAAGCATCGTATCTTGGGTTGGAATAAGCAGCGCAGAGTCCTGCCTCCAGTTTGATTGACAGCTTTCTGTAACATGACCCGTGGGAATTTTATCTTCTTGAGGTTCAGGGACTGCAGGGATGAAGCTGTGCTTCTGTTTTGCAGGACTCTCCCTGTTTTGCACCATTTGACTGAAGTAGGACAGGGTCAAGGTTTGAGGACTGACAGGTAAGTTTTGCTGGAGAATCAAGAATATGTTTCTCAGGGAACTGGAGAGATGGTTCAGTGGTTAAGAGCACGTGCTGCTCTTGTAGGGGAGCCGAGTTCCATTCCTATTACCTGTGCACACCCGTGCTGGGCAGCTCACAACTGCCCCAAGCTCCAACTCAAAGGTGATGGGATGCCTTTGGCCTCAGAGCATCTGCACTCAAGTGCACATGGTCACCTGCAGGCACATAATTAAAAATAAAATAATTAAACAACAAAAACCAAAACGCATCTCTCACCTACTAGTGATGTCATTTGGGAAAGTGGCTAGTAGGTCCCATGGACTTTGTCAGTTGTCAACAGTGCTCCCCAGACTTTCTGGTGGACTCATTTCTGTAACAAGGACAAGCCTGGTCCTGGTTGAGGCTCCAAATTACAGAAAAGATTTAAAGTGTTGGCAGCAGGGGCTGGGGCTGGGGGTGGAGGTAGAGAAAAGTCTCCGTGATTAAGAGAGCACATACTTCTCTTGCAGAGGACCTGGGTTCCATTCCCTAGACCCACATGGCAGCTCATAACCATCTGTAACTCCAGTTCCAGGGGATCTGACACCCTTTTCTGGCCTCTGTGCGCACTGTACACAACTGATGCATAGACAAGCAGTCAAAACACCTATACGCATAAACAGTCAATATATAAGTAAAGTAAATCTTTAAAGAGCGCTGGCAAGTTGAACTTTAGGGGAACCAGTCTGTGCTTAATCCCTTTGAGATGGGGTAGCCATCGTCCCCTCAGCTCTTACGAATCTATGTCTAAATGTTACAGGCAAATGCCAGAGGCTCCTGTGGGTACCCAGGCATGGAGGGAGCTGGAGTTACTGGGTTCTCCTTCCATAGTGGTCTTGATCTTTTGGAGTACATCTAGAATTTCTGTCTTGTAGAAAGGGCCACTTAGCTTTGTCTTCTGCATTGACTCAGGTTGTACTGGAGGAAATTTCAGAAATCAGCAGTTCTATCCCTATGTTTTCACATGAACAAGGAGTTTTGGGGAGGGAATGACTCTGACCCAAGGTCACACACCAGGTCAGGAGTACTACCTTGGACAGAACCCAGAACTCCTGTCTCACAGGACAGGTTTCTGAATGTAATATATTCATTCAGCAGATATTCAGGACTCTGGAAGTGAGGGGAGTGGTGGTTGGTGATTTCTAGGGAAATTGCTGGTAGGGGAAGAGGCAAAGGAAACAAAATCGAGTGAGAAATCATTGGATAGGTTCATTCTAGAAAAGTGTCATCTCAAACTCATCCCCAGAGTCTCCAAAGGCAGCTGTCCTCCACAGTTCTCTGTCCAGAGGTCAATCCTCAGTGACCGTGGCTGGTGCATTGAGGTGTGCTGGCCCAGCTGCCAGAGTAGAGGTTTTGGTGTATGTATCAGCCCAGCATCAAGAGCCCTTGCCAGAGGAAGAACCCAACCAGCTGCTCCTGTGAAGTGGTCTACTGCTTTGTGTTTGGCTCTTAGAAATCAACCTGTAGTTTGGCTCTCAGCCTGGTTCACAAATAGGGGACAGAGTTCCAGAGGCAAGTCTCATGGCTGCAGCAGCCCCCTTCTTGCCTATGGTTCTACTTCACCAATATCTCTGGACCTCATCCTCTCTATCCATTGTCTTTACCAGTCAGCCAGGCTCACTGTAGTAAATCCCTCAGTCTTCACCACTAGCCATGGCCCCCTCCACACATTGCCAGCTTCAGTATCATCTTTCCCATATCAAAGCACCAGGTACTCAACCACCCTTGACATTCTGGCTCGGATCTGATCATGCAGCCTGACTGGCTCTTCTAACTCCCTCATGGGTCTTCAGCTTCTCTCTCAACCTATACCTTGTTCCCCAGACCCGCCATTCTCTTTCAGACCTCTTCGCTTGGCAGGGTTATTCCTTTTGAAGTAACTTCCTCCTGTCTGAAAAAGTGCTCAGCCTGAATGACGTCTTTATGTGACATAATCTCTGGGGCAGTCGCTGGGCAGCCATGGCACAGGTGTGTGGTGCTTACAGCATCATATGGAGAAGAGGCCTCACTCGATCATCACATTCTTCTCCCAGAAGCTGGGACTGTTGAAAACCCCAGCAACCCCAGCATCTAGATGGTCTAGGGCAAACCACAGACTGTTGTATGACTGTATGAATGAAGAGGATGCCTTTTATTCTGTTTTAGATTCTAATACCAGGCTCTCTAGACTCTCAGAAAACCACCAGACCCCACATGGAACCACGGGCCCCATGCCCAGCTGCCATACCCTCAACGGAGAGAAAGTTCCATGTTCTTGTGGGTGTCACTGGAAGCGTTGCTGCCCTGAAGCTCCCTCTTCTGGTGTCAAAGCTTTTGGACATTCCCGGGGTGAGTATCCTTTCAAGACAAGCCTAGTGGCTTCGGGCACTAGGGAGTCAGTGCTCCAGGGCCAAACCACTTTTGCAGTGCATGGGCTGTTCTTTTCCTTAACCTTGGTGTGTAAGAAGGAATTGTCTATGTGTGCTGGTGGGCGGGGCACACAGGAGACAGACTGGTACAAGGTAAGCAGAAGCTAGATTAAATGAGATAGTGTGGGCAGAGCAGTGTGAGGAAGACGGGGAACGGGCACTGTGAATGGAGAGTTTGGATCCCATTCCCTGAGGATCTATGAAGCCCTGTGGTAGGAAAGTGGTCTGGAGAAGGGTGAAGAGTTTCAGCGCTCCCTTGCCATTTCCATTCTTCCCTCAGCTCTCAGGCTCTGCCCTCCAACCTTGTTAGAAATGTTGCTTGTCCTGTCAAACGCACTGAAAGCCTCGGGCCATTCATTGCCCAAACCTCTTGTTTTGAATCTAGTTTCCTCTGGTGCTCAGAGATAGTCCAGAAGCCACTGCAGTGTAACAGAATGGGAGATTTTTCTCCCTCTTGGCCAGGCCACCTCCACTTTGACTAGTTTTATATATTAGGATTCAGGAGCAGAAATTCAAAGATTGGAATATTGTCAGCTCCAGCAGGTAGATGTCTCACTTCTCTAGAATCCTCTGTGGGTCCATGTAGCCTCCTGCTGCTGTTCCTGTGTTCCTCCTAATGCCCATTGCTTTGGGTTGGCCACAGCCAACCCAGCTGCTTTTATTCTCCATTTAAACTCATTTAACATAGGATCAGAGGCTGCACTGGACACTGCTTGTGTTAATCCATCACTAATTTTGTGGGACAGACATTAAAACAGAGATTGTTTTCCTTGTGTCAGCATAGCCTCTGAGGTGGGGCCACCTAGTGGCTGTATATTACATATCCAGCAGAGGGCGCTCCTCTCACACAGATGGATGGCGTGGAGGCCTTCCAGTGGGGGGACTCCAGGAAAGACTTGTTTCTTTACTTTCTACTAACTTCTACCCAGAATGTTACCTCCTCTCTGTAAGTCCTTCCCCTCCTAGGCTGAAATAAGTGAAGAAGATGCCAACCATGCCACAGCCAGGAAAAGAGAGAATCTTATGGCTGCTGTCTGCTTCATGAGCCCAGGGCTGTTGGTTGGAGCTTAATAGCTAGAGCCTGGAGGGCAGGAGGCCTGGAAAGGGGTTCCCTGGGGAGAGAGGAACTCATAGTTCCTTTTCCCATAGCTCTAGAGCAATTGAGTTTCCGGGTAGGAGGATGGGGGTGGGGAGTCCTATCCCAGGAAACAGATGGGCAGCCTCAGAGCACAAGGGAATGGCAACTCCACCATTTCCTCCCAGCCCACGCATGTGTGGGGGTGTGAGGAAAGGGCTGCCTGCTGGGTGGTGGCTCCACCCACCCCAGGCTTTTTTAGCCTGGGCCCTTGGGAGGGAGGACAGGCTATGTCTGGAGCAGGCCTCGGCCCGCTTTTTCTCTGGCTGGGGTTAGAGCCCAAGTGAGGCAGCCAGAGGGCACTGAACTGTGGAGGCCAACCCCTCTCTCGACTTTAGGAGCCTGCCTTTCTTGTTTCCAAGTAGGGATGAGTCCTGCCCAACCCCCAGGTGTGGAAGGGGAGGGCAGTTGACACAGTTTGACAGCAACTTGGCTCAGAGCTTGACACGTGGAAGCACTTAACAGTGTGTGTTTCCTGTCTGGCACCCCTCCTCTGCTCTATGTCACAGCCTTTGGGTCACCAAATGGCTTCAGTTATTGAGGTCGTTGAGACACCCAACATGGGAAAAGCCCCTGGAACTACGGTCCCTTTTTGTATGTGAGGGTCCCCACGTCCTCATCCTGAAGATTGGCAGCTGGCTAAACCCAGTTTTGCCCATGGTAATCAGGGGTGGATCCTAGTTTATGTGATGGCCACCACCCCCCCTTCCCAGTGCTCCTCCCTCTAGTTTCTTCCCTGGGAGTACTGTACTTCCCAGTGCGCCCCTTTATAGTGGATTCTGGGTCACTTGGAGCAGTCACCCTCAGCTCCTTGCTGGGTTGATTATTCATGCGAACAAGGCTTTCCCCGGTTCTCTGGAGGACAATCAGCTTGTGACTAGTCAGCAAGCATCTGGGTGTGGGTTGCAGATAGCCAGGCATACCATGCCCGGCATGCCAGCATGTGCAGGTGTCCTGGGAGAGCCGCTGGCCTGGAGGCTGTGCTGTCACCCCACAGCAGGTCAGAGAGATGTGAGGGCCTTTGGCAAGTGGAGTAAGGAGGGATAAGTGGTGGACTTAGCTGCTGGCCTTCCACATAAACAGTTGAGAGAAGTCACCAGCAAAGCCCAGGCGCCTTTGTGAGACTGAAGAGTAAAACAGTAAGGGGTGGGAGGAAAGAGGCTCTGAGCCAGACCTGGTAGCACACACCTGTAGTCCGAGCACTTGGGAGGTGGAGGCAGGAGAACAGGAATTGAGGGTCAGCCTCAGCTGCATCTCCTGCCTCAAAAAAAAAAAGGTAAGGTCTAGAAATGTAGCTCACGTGACTACTTGCCTGGCATGCACAGAGCCCTAGACTTGTGGTCTCTAGCACCACATAAAACCAAAGAGTAGTGGTGCAAGCTTGTAATCCTAGCACAGAGGCAGAGGCAGGAAAGTCAGAAGTTCAAGGTCATCCTCAGCCACATACCCAGTTTGAGGCCAATCTGGCTTATGTAAGGCCCTATCTCAAAGCGGGGTGGGTAAGAGGGAAGAAGCATAGAGGTTTTCTGGCACTGGGACTTTGAGCCTGTTTACTTCTGTTTTTGCCTCCTTTCTTAGCCTTAGTCATTTTGTCCATGCAGTGACATGAAGGCAGGCTTGCAGGTGATTTATCCTGAGGGTCTTTTTGGCTAGATGTGAAGACAAAAGGGACTAGGACCCAAAGGCCATCTAGGAGAATGTTTTGCAACTCCATAGTTGTTATGTGGACCGCGTTTTCATTCAGGTTGTCAACTCTGTTTGCACCTTGGTGGGCAAGTCTGGCCTGATCTGGGAAGAGAAAACAGATATCAGAGTTACCTTTCAGGGCAGGTGGCAGCAGGATTGAGAGCCAGAGGGAGGGAGTTGGTAGTCCTTGGGTTTATAGAAAGGTAAGTTTCTAGCATGCCCATCAGGACACCCAGGGCTGAAGACGAGGAAGGAGGGTCTTACTGAAGTAGATTCTGCTTTTCCAGTTAGTTTGTCAATATACAGAAGAAATTTAAATGCTTGTAGCCTTTATTTCGCTTCTAGAATTAAGTCCTATGGTTGCAAAAGTTCAAGGATGCTCATTATAGCATTGTTGGTGATTTCAAGACAACTGAAAACAAACCCTGAGTCCACCAGCACAGAGCTATGGCATACTCATGGTGCAGACTCCCAGTGGGTTACTGAAGTGGATTAGAACAATGAAATGATCCCAAAGATGGGAGGAGCAAAATAAGATTGGGCTATGCCCCACCTGTAACCGTAAGTGGTTCTATATACTGCATGTTCCAGGAACGGAAATCGTGCCTTTGTTTCAAAAAGTTAATGACCAGTTACCTTGCAACCCTACCTTTGTTTCAAAAGGGTTGTTACTGCTGCCTTATTATGACTCCCTGTTATGACCCCCTGGCAACCCTATCTTTGTTTCAGGAGGTTGTTAGGACTAACTTGTTATGATGGTCTGCTCCTGTAACCCTGCCTATTTTGCCCACCAAATCCCACATTGGAAGTCCCCTACCCCTGAGCTATCAAAACATTGTCTTCCTCACATCTAATGCTGACCTCTCAAACCCTGCCTTAGGGGGAGGCAGCCCATCCACATGGATCAAGAAGCTTCCTTGAATTAATTTGACTATGATGATTTGGGTCAGTGGTCTTTCTCCTCACATCTTTGGGACTAACAATGAATGGTTCAGTGGTTAAGAGTGCACACTGTTCTTCCAGAGGACCTGAGTTTGCTTCCATATTGGGTGACTCACAGCTGCCTGTAACTCCAGCTCCTGGGGATCAGATCAGACCTCTGTGAATCTGTACACACACACACACACACATCTGTGTATGTATACACACACACACACACACACACACACACACACACACACACACACACACACACAGAGTTAATTATTTATGTATGAGTGTTCTATCTGCATGTATGCCTGCACACCAGGAGAGAGCATTAGATCCCTGTATAGATGGCTGTGAGCCACCATATAGTTGCTGGGAATTGAACTCAGGAAGAGCAGCTAGTGCTCTTAACTTCTGAGCCATCTCTCCAGTCCCAACAATTAAAACTTTAAAAATAAAATATTTAGCCGGGAGGTGGTGGCACACGCCTTTAATCCCAGCACTTAGGTGGCATAGGTAGGCGGATCTCCAAGTTCAAGGCCAGCCTGGTCTACAGAGCGATTTCCAGGACAGTCAGAGCTACACAAAGAAACCCTGTCTCAAAAAATCAAAGCAAATTTAAAAAGTGATGGGCTAGGTGAGATGGCCCAACAATACAAGATGACACCTTGAGTTCAGTCCTCGTATAAAGGTAGAAGGAAAGAACGAACTCCATAGTGTTCTGACCACACACTTATACCAAGGCATGCCTCCTTTTCTTGCAGTATTTTTCATAATTGCATACACCAACCTATGCCTTGCCTGTGACTGCCTCTGAGCGTGCCAGTTAGGACAGAGTTCAGAGTCTTCAGCCCATGCTAAAAGATATTTGTTGGCTCTTTTTTTTTTTTTTTTGGTTTTTCGAGACAGGGTTTCTCTGTGTAGCTTTGGAGCTGATCCTGGCACTCGCTCCGTAGACCAGGCTGGCCTCGAAATCACAGAGATCCGCCTGCCTCTGCCTCCCGAGTGCTGGAATTAAAGGCATGTGCCACCAACACCCAGCCCATTTGTTGGCTCTTAATATATGTAATATGCCTTTAAATGTTTACATATCTAGGACTACCTGCAGTTTTTTCTCTTTGGAGGTAGTTAGTTGTGGAGGGAGATGGGCTTCATTTTGTATCATTCTGTTA